CACTTTCAAAACAAACTTCCAAAAACACTTTGAAACATCCTTTCGAAAAGATACACACCGTTGTATATACTCAAACACGAGTCATTACAATGGTTGCCGAAACAAAGGCGTCTATTTCAAAAACATTTTCAAAAAACACAAACACACACCATTTTCAAACAATCAAAATTAAGGCAAGTGATCTAAAAACCAAGTAACTAAGAGCCCATGGATAACCATGGATGAAAAGGGTGCTAATACCTTCCCTTTTCATAATCTACCCCCCGAACCCATGAAACATCTCAAAAAGGTTTTTCCTGTGCTTTTTAAACCTTTCCTTTAGGATAAAATAAAAAGTCGGTGGCGACTCTTGCTAAACCGAACAAGTGCGAATACGAACGCAAAACCTAAGTCAGTTCTCCCACCGTATCACACCAAGTAAATGCAGCTCAAATTGATAACCCAGACACTATGTAGACTTCACCTTCTCTTCAGAACCCTACACCAAGCTACGAGGATTTCCTCAGGTCGTATCAGACTAACCAGACCTCAGGTTCCACGGCTTCGGTTACACACACTAGTAATTCATCTATTTGCTTCTCTCAATCATCTCCTCTTGGTCATTGGATCCTCGATTCTAGTGCGTCTGATTATGTTACCGGTAATAAAGATCTTTTCTCTTCCCTTTCTTCCTCTGGTTTCTTACCGAGTATAATTGCCGCAAATGGTTCTCAAACCCGACCCCAATGGATTAATACCGTTTAAATTCTACCATCTATCTCTGTTACTTCTGTCCTATATGTACCTAATTGCCTATTTAATTTACTGTCTTCCAGTCATCTAACTCGTTCTCTTAATTGTTCTATCACTTTTACTAACAGTAATATTACTCTGCAAGATCAGAGATCGGGACAAACGATTGGCGTCGAATGTGAGTCTTAAGGCATTTACTACTTCTTCATGTCTTCTACCACATGCTCCACCACAAATTTTCCACTCATTATACATGCGCTATTAGGTCATCCATGCCTTTCTAAGCTACAAAAGTTGGTGTCTAATTTATCTAAACTATCAACTTTACATTGTGAGTCTTGTCAGTTAGGGAAACATACTCGTAGTCATTTTCCCAGTCGAGTCAATAAATGGGCTGCATCCCTTTTTACTTTAGTTCACTCCAATGTTTGGGGTCCCTCGCGTACCGTGTCTGCTTTTGAGTCTAGGTATTTTGTAACATTTATTGATGACTTTTCACATTGCACGTGGCTATTTTTAATGAAGAACATATCAGAATTATTTTCTATTTTTGAACAATTTTATCGCGAAATAAGAACCCAATTTGGTTTGTCTATTCGTACCTTAAGAAATGACAATGCACGTGAATATTTATCCCAAAAATTTCAAACTTTTATGTCATCCAATGGTATTCTGCACCAAACATCTTGCCCTCATACATCCCCAACAAAATGAGGTAGCTGAACGCAAAAATCGGCATCTCGTAGAAACCACTCAGACCCTACTTCTCCATGGTAATGTGCCTCTCCAGTTTTGAGGAAGTGTTGTGCTCACAACATGTTACCTCATAAATCGCATAACCTCATTTTTCCTTAATAATAAAATCCTCCATTCAATCCTGTTTCCAAACTCTCCTCTTCACCAAATTCCTCCTCGAATCTTCGAGTCTACGTATTTTGTACCCAATCTCTCCCATGGTCTTGATAGACTATCAACTCAGTCACTAAAGTGTGTCTTTCTTGGTTATCATTGATCCCAAAAGGGCTATCATTTCTACTCACATACTCTACAATGATACCTCGTATCAGCCAATGTTACCTTCTTCGAGTCTGTTTCATATTTCGAGTTCAGCCAAGTAACTCTAGAAGCCCTTCAAGAAAGTACTCCCACAACTCTTCCAGGAGTTCGATTTCCCATTATCTCCCATCATTCTAGGGAACCTGTCCCATCATAAAACCCTATGGTTGACCCCCTCACTTCTCACTCACTTCAAACATATCATTGTCACCAACCCACGTCTATCGTACGTATCCCTGAGGCAATACATGTCCCTAAGTTCGTTGCAGTTTCTCCTCTGACGCCTTAGCCATCATCAGATCTGATTCAACAACCTGAGTCTGATCTTCTGATTTCCCTTCTAAAAGGTATACGTTAAACACAAAATACTTCTCCATATTATATTGATTTGTGTTATCATAGTCTTTCCCCTTTGTAGTATACTTGTTTGTCTTCTTTGTCTTATATTTCTATTTCTAACACTCCATGTGAAGCATTATCTCATCCTGAGTGGAGGAAAACATTGATAGATGAAATGTGTGCTCTTCAAAGAAGTGGTACTTAGGAATTGGTATCTTTACCCCCTAGGAAATCTGTAGTAGGTTGTCATTGGCTTTATACAATGAAGGTTTGACCAGATGGTAAGATCGATTGTTTTAAATTTTGTTTGGTAGCCAAAGGATACACTCAAATTTTTGGGTTGGATTATAGTGATACTTTATTGCTTGTAGCAAAGATGACATCTGTTAGACTTCTTCTAGCCATTACATCCATTCGACATTGGCCTCTTCATCAACTTGACATCAAAAATTCATTTTTACATGGTGATCTTGAAGAGGAAGTATATATGGAGCAATCACCTGAGTTTGTTGCTCAGGGGAAGTCATCAAACATGGTGTGTTGTCTACACTGGTCTCTTTATGGTCTTAAGCAATCTCCGAGAGCTTGGTTTGGAAGATTCAACACTGTAGTACAACAGTTTGGTATGATCCGTAGTAAAGTTGACCATTCAATTTTTTTATCGTCAATCAGTCCAAGGGTGTATTTATCTTATTGTGTATGTAGATGATATTGTCATAACTGATAGTGATCAACAGGAAATACTCCAGTTGAAACAACATCTTTCGAATCAATTTCAGACAAAAGATCTTGGTAAATTATGTTATTTCTTGGGTATTGAGGTAGCCCAATATAAAGATAGTTTGGTGATTCCTCAGCGGAAATATGCTATGAATATTTTGGAAGAAACGGGTTTGTTGAATGCTAAGTCTCTATCTGACTCAAGAAGGTATAGAAGATTGGTTGAAAAGTTGAATTATCTCACAGTCACTCGTCCCGACATTTCTTTTGCAGTCAGTGTAGTAAGTCAATTCTTAAATTTCCCTTATCAGGAACACATAAATGTTGTTATCCAGATTCTGAGATACATCAAATGTGCTCCAGGAAAAAGGTCGTGTGTATTAAGATAAAGGACATACTCAAATAGTAGGATACTTCGATGTTGATTGGGCAGAGTCACACATTGATAGACGATCCACCTCTGGGTATTGTGTACTTGGTGGAGGAAACTTTATATCCTAGAAAAGTAAGAAATAAAACGTAGTTGCAAGATCAAGCGCCGAGGCTAAGTATAAGACCATGGCAATGACAACATGTGAACTCATTTGGTTAAAACAGTTGCTCAAAGAACTTCAAATTGAAGAAGTAAGACCAATGACAATTGTTTGTGATAATCGAGATGCATTGCACATTGCTTCAAATCCAGTCTTCCATGAGAGGACCAAACATATTGAGATAAAATGTCACTTTGTCAGAGAGAAGATTGAATCAGGCGACATCGTCACAAGCTTTGTCAACTCTAATGATCAACTGACAGATGTGTTTACAAAATTCATGCAAAGTCCTAGAACTAATTATATATGTGGTAAGCTTGGTGCATTTGATTTATATGCTCAAACTTGAAGGGAGTGTTGATATTTGTAAATATATACTGTTAAGAATATTTGTATATAGAATAGTCTTACATCGACTATATTATATAATTAGCTGTAATTTCTCTATATATAATAAAGTCTCTATAATATTTTTTAAAACACACGGTTTAACTTAAATGTCTCTTAGTCTTTCATAATTCAATACTCCTAAAAAAGTTGCTACTACACAATAAGATGAGCTTGTCATTCATAAGATACAAGTAGATGATCATGAAGATATTCCTGAAGTTAAAGATATGGAATCTTTTACTTGAAGCAGGTCTGATATGGTGGATGCAGACAATGACATTGTCGATGCAAAAGACAAACTTTTGGTGCATGTAGAAGAGAACAATATAGTAGATGAAGAAAACAATCATGAGAATAATGATGAGGAAGAAGAGTAATTAACACTTTTGATCTCTAAGAAGACTAAAAAGAAACCTAAAGATACTAAAAGAGAAATAGGAAGACCTTCAATATTAAGCCTTGGATGCAATTGTCTAATTTCCCTACAAGAACTTTGCATAAATTTCAATTCCAGTAATTTTCCACCAATAATAGAGAAATTTGGATATTCCCTGGTTTTTCATGAGAGAATTCAACACCATTCTCTGAGCTCGTGAATATATGGTTTATTGCGATCCTGCTAGAGCCCCTTAAAAGACTTTCAGAACTAGATAGATCATAATTCTTTGATTCTCAACCATGGAAACTCAATTTAATTAGAACAATGGTAGAGGTGGTTTAGCTCTATTTGAATTAGTTGATGGATTGACAATTTGAATTATCTATGTTGCTCAACAACAACAACCACCAAAACCAGGTGGGTCTCATCTTTAAAATTTATGAATATGTGAAGCTCCTGTGATGATTGCATATGTATTGTTAAGGATGCTTGGAATGAGACTATTCATGGCTACTGTATGTGTAACTTACTGAAAGCTCATGAACCTCAAACTCAAACTCAAGAACTTGAACAAAAATGTCTTTGGAAATATACATCAAAGAGTGCTCTTGCAACAAAAAAAAAACACTAAAAAGAACAATGTTTCTAGATATTGGAGTGTTTTTTCATTACCTGATTATTTATCCAGCAAAAACAATGAAAAAACTAAAACGAAACAGAAACATTGTGCTTTGCATAATATATCAAAACCATGATCATTGAACCTATGCATGCGGACCAGAATCATATTCATCCTAAAATCTTCCAAGAGCAAAAAGGAACAAAAGAAGAGTGATAATGAGTTGTAGACCTTAGTCTTCCTCGTGAGGGGAATAGCGACTATATTTTTCCCGCCTAGGAGAGTGTTCACATCTTTCTTTTCTTTTACGTGAATGTTTATCTGTTTCGGTTGAACTCTTGGAAGAGCTCCTTTCATTGTAACAGTCACTCCTCTTAGAAGAGCTACTTTCATTGTAACGGTCATCCCTCTCTAAAGAGCTTCTGTCATGGTAACTATCACTCCTCTCTAAAGAGCTCCTTTCCGAAGAGCGATCACTCCTCTTTGAAGATTTCCTGTCATGGTAACGGTCACTCCTTTCTGAAGAGCGATCACTCCTCTTTGAAGAGTTCCTGTCATGGTAACGATCATTCCTCTCCGAAGAGCTCCTGTCACGGTAACGATCACTCCTCTCCGAGGAGCTCCGGTCATGGTAACGATCACTCCTCTCTGAAGAGTTCTTGCCATGGTAACGATCACTCCTCTCCGAAGAGCTCCTGTCATGGTAACGATTATGTCTCTCCGAAGAGCTCCTATCATAGGAATCATCTTTCCTCTCTGAAGAGCTCCTTCCATACGAGTAGTCTCCTCGGTGACTTGAACTTCTTTTATAGTGCCCTTCCTCCAATTCAACTGGACTTCCTTTTCTCCTATTTCTGTCACTAGAACCCCTTGTATCAGAGTCTTCTTCCTTGTCTGAGAGGTTCTTTTCTCTTCTAGGAGGTGATGGAACCTATTCATATGTATCGAACACTTGTCAGTTGTCATTATAAAATATGTATCTTGTTTAATAATGCCTTATAATATCTTAAATATTCAATATGAAACATGCATTCTTAGCTGCAAGGTAATAGAACACTTGTTTAATGCCAAAAGTTCAAAAGATAAAAGGTAAAATAACATCACCTCAAAACGTGACATGTATCTTCCCTCAGGTGGAGGTGGAATACCAAGCTTCTTCAACTCCGCGTATGGAATTGGTTTCCTGGTTAAATAGTAGAGAAAATACATAATCAATAAAACTGTAAGTCCGTAGCGCACAAGTCAAATGTAGATATGCCATGTATTGGCCTGCAAAGGCTGTGTAGTACACCGACTAGCTTTAATCTTTTTCACAAAACTTCTACACTAAAGAATTATACAAAGAAACAGATGCATACAATGGTGCACGAAATGGTTTTTCTCTTCCCCCGAAACGAAGTTGTCCCGACTCCTTATTACCACTAAGACCACCACCTGTAGGAGATAACAAAAAAGTAATCAGATGACTCGGGCTCAAATGAAAATAATTGCAACATCAATGAGTCACTTCGACTGACCTAACCTTCTAGGAATCCATCCGGGCATCAGTTGTTGTCTATTATAGTCAACAATGATTTCGCAATCATCAACAATCAAATGATGAGCATCCTACAAAACCAGAAAGTCGGATAAATATTAGCAACAACATTATTTAGCCAAATAAAGCCAAGATGATTTCCGTTTCCTATTTGAACAATATAACTGATTTGTGTGTCTGTGTTTATTTATGTGTGTGAACATGTCATAAAGCTTTAAATCTTGGTTCTTTAATTTAAGATGAAAAGTAAACAAAGTTGACATATTGCAGTACCGTATATGCTTGACGCATCTCCCTTTCAGTTTCAAATTCGACAAAAGCATAACCACGAGAAGCTCCTGTCACTATAAATAAAAAAATTCAAACTTCAGCCTACAACTTGACAATAATATCCGTAAAAGAGTCCTTGTTAACATAAATCATTCAAACGACGCATAGTTGCATGCACTGCTGCAGAAAGCCATTAGTGAAAACTAAAAGTGACTTAAGTGAGATTAAGTGAAGTATGAAGTGAAGAGAGAAGATGGAGAGGCATGGGCAGTTTGGTGATGAGATATTGCCTAGGTCGTGGAATTTAGGGGTTATATAAGACCCATCTCATCACCAACCCGACTTTATTTTATTTATAATTATTCTTAAAAATAACATCCAATATGTAAGCCATAATCTCTAACTTATATACAAAAATCCACCACTAGTGTAGTGGTGGAGGAATCGCAGTAGCTTATCAGCTTTTGTCGTGATTGCGATGAAGATAACATATCCTTTGAAATGCTATTTTTCAGAAACACAATCCAATGAAGAGCATCATACAAGCCCTCAATCAGCAAGTCCTCGGTCTATAAAATCTATTACATGTTTTTCGAAAACACCCAATTTGAAGATGTAAAACAGTGAGGCAAAACAACAAGCAAAAATTGAAATCAAAGATGGTTCAAGAATTAAGATAAACAAAGAAAATTACCAATGTCCCTCACCAAGCGCAAATTCTTAATCCGGCCGTACTGACTCATAACCTGAAAGACAAACCCAAACATTCCGTATCAGAAAAATCAAGACATGGGAGAACTTAAAGAACAACCAAAACAAAAGAAGTTGCAGTGTCATAAGCTTCAATAAATCAATTAATATAACTGAGTTTGAGATACTCCTTTACAACACATAAGTTAGAACCATGTGATCTAAGCTCTGTACATTTAAATTACACTATACTTAGGAGAAAAAAAAAGGTGTGTATGTGTCTGTGTCGGCGGTAACAGACACAGACACTGATTGCATTTAAATTATTCATTTTTTCAAATTATTATCCGTGCAATAGTCAATTTTACTAGTAGAAATTCTAGCATGCGAGATGAATATACTTAACCCTAAAAAAGTTACCTTGCGGAGAGTGTCGTCCGTGGTGAGTCTGGAGAGACGACCCACGAAGAGGGTACAATAAGGGTCACCAGTGGCCTTAGGATCACCAAATGGGTCATCTGCAAAATTGAATTTTGGAAAAATAAACAAGCGATGAAGATTGAAAGAAAAAAGTGAAAAGGGGGAAATGGAGAATTGAATACGAACAGAGGCCGATAGAGGAACATAGTTGGGCACGGAGAATGGCATTGTCGTGAGGAAGAATATCGGTGCCGTCGATGCTTCCGGCTTGAATGGGATGGTAGACGTCGGAGTAGAAAACAGAGTTCAAGTTTTTGGACCTCGTACTCATTGTTTGTTTGTCTTGACTATTAGCTTCGCACTACAATGTAAGGGAAATAAGAGGGAATTTAAGATTTCAGGTCGATTCTTCTTGGTTTTGCATGGATTTAACAAAAACATCTACTTCTACAATATCTAAAATCAATTTTAGAAATATAAAATTAATTCGGGATGATCTTTAATTAGACAAAAATAGAATTGATTCTGTCTCTAGAATTAATTCTACTTGAAGATAAAATTTGTAACTTTTACTTTTAGAATTGATTCTGTATGATTATTATACTAAAATTTATTGTTCAATTTACTTTTACATAAATATATTGAAATGTAAATCAATTTTGTTAAACTCAATTCTAATAAAATCAATTAATTTCGATGTCAATCCAAACACACACTTCATCTCATCAAAAGAATATATATATATATATATATATATATATATATATATATATATATATATATATATATATATATATATATATATATATATATATATATATATATATATATATATATATATATATATATATATATATATATATATTTTTTTTTTTTTTTTTTCATTGTGTTTCATTTCACACTGGTAGTTAAGCTACATCTATCAAATCATAACTTCAAAAAAATCTAAAATGTAGTACTAATTTTTGTCGAATATTGTGATTTTGACGTTGAAAACATGATTTTGCAACTTGTGCTTAGTTAATATATTTATCTCACATCCTAATTTACATTGAATATGCTTGAGTCGAAAATCACATGCTAACGCCACCATATTTATCTTCCTCCAATTTGGCTGGAACGAAGGATTTATCTTGTTCTGTCTTAAAATTTCTAAACGATTAAATGAAATTTTCATTCTACTCCGCTTCATTTCTTTCTAGTAGATTTCACTCCGCTCCACTCCAAACCTAGCTTAGAAGTTAATGGCACTTTAGAAGATTTTACTTCGAATTTCTATGATATAGATGTTGAATCAAATACCAATATTCTGTTAAGACATAAAATTTACTGGACAGACCAACAAGAAAGCCAGCAGGGTTCAGAAGATAGTTCTTCTAAGTTATAGGTAGTGTACCAAAATGTGGACAGTGTCCCATGCTCATGACATTTTAGAATCAATTGTACAGAAAATTGTGCAAGGAGTATGTAAATACCAAAAATGTTACAAACTACAAGTTTTACAACCATAAATTAGTGTTGCTTCCTTTTCTTAAATCCCCATGATAGGCAGGGTCAAAGAAACTGCTGTCTTTCTCTTGGCAAAAGCATTAGTTCGTCATCATCTAAAGTGTCACTTGCAAATAGAGTAGACTCTTCTCGGCAACATTGGCTGCTTTTCTTTTATCAACATCCAATTTGACATGCAATTTCCTTTCAACAGGGTCATTTGAAAGCCCTACTTTCGATTGTCGTGGAACTTTTGCACCTAGACCAAGCCTGCAACCATAACGTCCATATATATCAAATAGATTTGTAAGAGTCAAACTGTGAACCATTTAACAGTGATGGTGATTATACTGACCTGTGAGGTCTACCCTCCATATCCACGTTTATTGTTTCAACATCTGCAGATCCGCTCATACTATTTACCCATACCTCAACCTGCCAATAAATATCAATATGATTGCAAATCAATATCATAACAAATAACTCACCAACCACTTAATAGACATAAACTACATAAACCTTATTCTCTAATCTCTACTCTTATCAAGACATGCGAAGATAATAATTTACCAGTTTGAAGGCTTTGTTCAACTTAACAATCGGGGGAGCAGCAGTTATCTTTGAGTTTACAATAATACTCATTTCAAGCTTTGAAATTTATTAAGAATAATTTTCGTTGTTGCAGCTTATGTTGGGTTTTTATTAGCTTATGATGAAACACAGTGCTGAATCCATGTATAAAGCAAGCATTTGATTATGGTAAGAAGCATAATTTTGTTTCTCATGATTTCTTTTGTGGATTATTTTCTCAAAGTTTCTTTGTTTCAAATGATTTATTTTGTAGATTATTTCTCAGTTTTACTGATAACTAACTCTTATTGCAGGAAGCATTTCACATGATATTGATGAAGATACACCTGATATTGATGACTTATTAATGTTTAACCAAGGTGAGTACTTCAATCTATTTGTTTATTTTAGAAGCTGAAATATTAATCAAATGATATCAACTATTATGCTGAGAAATTAGTCACACAAAAAAGCTCTTTGATGACATGTAATTTCTTATTATAGATCTGTGAGCAAATTAGAGTTGTATCAAGTGATTGTTGATGTTAGGATTGTTGATGTATCAAGTGACTTGTTTCAATGTTGTGCTAAGGTAGTGTAATTATTCACTGACAGATAATAAATCTTTTTAGAAAAGTTAAAAAAAATGATGGATCCTGTAAATCATAATTTTTGCTGCTGTATAAAAAAATGATGGATCCTGAGTTAGGTTCACAAATAGTTGGAAAAACTCAAGGTATGTATGTGGCAAGTTAGGCAGATGGGAGTATTTAGATGATGGTGTTCACAGCTTTGTTTGAAGGAGGGGAGTATGGTGATAGCTTGAACTTTTATGGTTTGTATAAGAGAGGAAGCACAATGTCGCGATTATCGGTGATAGGAGGCACGGAGAAGTTCAAGAATGTGAGGGGGTTTGCTTAGCTGAGACCTCTTATTCCACCAGGACAGGGACGGTACATATTTATGAATGAGCATCTTATCTTACACATTTAATATTTTTCTCTCATATATGTTTTAGAGTAATATTTTGGAATATTTTTTAGCACTAACTATGTTTTGAAAAAAAAAACACAAAGAATCATATTTCAGAGAAAATTACACAAATAATCATGTTTTCAAAAAAGAATTAATGAGGAGGTGCCACTTGAACTGGCGCCTCCTATACATTTTTCAAAAATTTTCAGTTACCTGCGGATTTTCCTGCAGATTGACATTACCTGCGGACTTACCTGCAAATTTTCCTACGGTATTACCTGCGGTTAAATAATCCGCAGGTAAAGCCACAAGTAAATCCGTAGAAAAAGTCAAATCTGCATGAAAATCCGCAGATAAATAGAAAAATTGAAAATAAATTTTATGAGATGGTTAGACGCAATCTCACTTGGCGTCTCCTTTAAAAAAATGCATGGGCCATCTGAAACGACTACTGAATTATAACGTTTTCTGAACCATGATCATTTACATAAATTTTTCTAAAACATTATTATTTGTGTATTTTTTTTCTTTTCAAAATATGATTATAACAAAAGAAAATCAATATTTTGTGTTTGGTGACACTTTTAAGAGCCAGAAATATCCTTCAAATAACATTAGCCATAGAAAATGTAGAAGACTAACTGCTTTTTCCAAACTTGCAGCAGTGACATGACAATTCTGTACCGGGACTGCTATAACTCAGACTAATAACGCATGCTTATAACATAATAATATAATATTAAAGATGACTTTAACAGTTGACATTAAAGATGATTCCAGAGGTAGATGTAGATCTGTACAAAAGCCAAGGTAAGGGTGATACTATATATTTTTGGATTCTGCTTTATGATTTTCTTTTGAAGCCTCATTTGTTATGATAAATTGTGTTTCTAGATTGAAATAATACTTGGGAAGAATGCAAAGTTCGACGAGTTGATGGTTGCTTGTTGTGGCAGTTATTGAAAACGATTGAAATGGAGAGAATGAAGAGTAATCTGCATGAAAATCATCCATATCAACTGTCTTTGGTAGATAGCAGACAGACTTATATTTTTTTATAAACTCACTTGCAATGTTGAGCTACCTAATTCCTTCACTTCTTTTTCTCATAAATAGAAGATTTTTATATTTATGTTTCCACTGTTGTTGCGTTCATTTTCACGTTTTAACAAACAAGCTTTTAAACTGTTTCCAAGTTTTATTATTCTTCGCCCTCCGTCGTGTTTGTTCTGTCACCAGAGGTTTAATATCCAAACTAAATCATATGCGGTGTTGAGATATGATGTCGAAAATTGTGCTCCAAATAATTTACCGCATGCCCTGAATTACAATGGAGTTCCATAAACAATGACCAGTCTAAGGGTTGATTCATAATTTGTAGATGATATGAATAATTTCGATTGTCCTTTTCATCATTCGATCGAACCTGATTTATTCTATTTCTATAAAAAACTCGATTTATTGTATTTTCTTAAGAAATTTGATTTACTGTATTTTTGTAAAAACTTGATTTATTATATTTTTGCAAAAATTTAATTTACTGTATTTTCGTAAAAAAAATCGATTTACTATATTTCCTTAAGAAATTTGATTTACTGTATTTTTGCAAAAACTCGATTTATTATATTTTGGCAAAAACTCAATTTACTGTATTTTCATAAAAAAACTTGATTTATTGTATTTCCGCTAAAAAAACTTGATTTATTGTATTTTTATAAAAAAATATTCGATTTATTGTATTTCCGTAAAAAACTGGATTTTTTGTAGTTCTAAAAAAATTCAATTTACTGTATTTCTGCACACAAAAAAAATCAATTTATTATATTTTCGCAAAAAACTTGATTTACTGTATTTTATTAAAAAACTTAATTTATTGTATTTTCATAAAATCTCGAATTTATGATCATATTTATGACTCATTTAAACTTTTTAATGAAACTAATTACTGATTTATAATTTATTTATAGAAGTAATGGAAAATAAAGTTTTTTATTTTTAATATAACAGTAATGGTAGAGTTAGAAATAGAATAATTATTATCAACAAATAATTATAAATAATGTCAATTAATAGTGTCAATTTTTAATATCACACTAAATGTCAATTAATAGTGTCAATTTTTAATATCAAACTAATTCTAACAAATCTCCAAATATATCTAACAATGGCCCTTTATAAAATTGGGGCAGAGTAGTCAATCACGGACCGCTATGAGAAGAGCTTTAGCGGTGCACAACAGTTTAGCGGCCACTATAGGGTTAATCTTTCGGCATGAAGTGTTTTCTGGTCTGTTATTCT